AACATGGCCATCGCGGCGGTTACCGAGGCGGAAACGCGGCTCTGTGGGAACTGGTAAGAAATGAAACCGAGCTCCTGGGGCGGCTCCGAGCCGGCGCCTTCCTCCGGGCGGGGCGGGCGGTGTGTTCCCTCGGATCGCGGTGAGCTGCTGGAACGTGTGGTCTTTGTAGCGACGTTCGCGTCTTACTTTGCCTTGTGATTTTCCCAACCTTTATTCACGTTTCTGAGTTAACAGGCACCTAGATAGAAACCGCAGGGTTCAAACCACAGTATTCGAACAGAAATGAAGGCTTCTAAAGGTGCACATGAACTCCACGATCCCGGGTTTTCCTTTAGCAGCTACATGGCTCAGGAGCAGATGTAAAAATAGACTCAGTAGGGACCTATTGCTGTGGCCTTGTTTCTCTTTGATAACAGCTCTCTTTTCACAGCAGCTCCAATGTCAGTAATACGTTCACTGATAACGGTGAAACCTCAGAAGGACAGAAGGAATGCAAGCAACTAACGAAATTAACTGTTTTTTCCTCAGAGATAGCAAAATCCAAACAGTTTCTTGCAACATCAGGCGAGCTGGTTTGTAAGGAGCGAGTTTGTGCAATTCAGCCGCTTTGACGGGACATGGGCTGTTTGGGATCTGGCAAGGGAAAAACCTGAACCGCTGTAGTGACCTTCCTTTGTGATATGGAAAGCGCTAAGGAATGGGTTATGAAGTTAATGTTGGTGTTTTGGAGGCTGATCTCCTCGGGGGGAGGATGGATGATAGATCCACCTGGAAATGATGCTCCCTGCCTGAGGCAGGAATAAGGACCAAGCTCCCAGGGCACTGCTCAACCTCTCGCAGCCAAGTTGTTTCAGGAAGAAACTTTCATCTTCTCAGATTAGTTTATTAACTTAAACCTGGTGATAATTTGTTTATGCTGCAAAAATTGCCTTTCACATAAGGAAATGAATCCACTTCGATTTTATCTTAATGCAGTGTGGAAATTGTGAGTTTTTCATGCTAATGTCCCACTCTAAAGGAACGCTGAGGCCTGGCTGGCCTTGTCTTTCGCTTTAGTTACCCGCTTCTCTAAACCACGAATTCATAGAAAGCTTTCTTAGGATTTTTTTAAATTATGAAAAACTGCTTGAAATTCTTCTCGGTGTATTTTCTGCGAAGTGACCTCTGTGGCTCTCTCACAGCAAAAAGGACATTCCTGCAGTTAATTTCATCATCCATGAAATCCACTGTAGCAGGAATATTGAAGTGTGCTGCTTCTGCAGCGAATCCATCCCCAAGTCTGAGATGAAGAACCACATCGAGGCTGAGCACGTGCAGGTGAGACACAAACGTCTCCTCTAAAACTGCTGACTTCTGTGGCAATTAATCTAATGAGGTCTCTTCGTTGTAGGTAACCTGCAAGTGTAGGATGAAGATAGAAAACAGTCTCCTGAAGGATCACGAGGTTGGTGGACTTTGTATTATTGGGCACTTGGAGGATACTCTGTGGTAATTCCAAGCTCTGATTCTAGAGCCTTCTGTCAGCCAAGACCTGGATTCCAACCTGTGGTTTATGCATCCATTTTATTGACCTGTGCTTTCTAAATTCAAACCCTCTGAGAGGACGTGGTTGGAAACTGCCTTAAAGTGGTGGAGCCTCCTCAAGTGGTCCTGTCCTAGGGGGTACCTGTGATAATGGGTGATTTTGTCCTTATCAGTGATTAAGATGAAAAATGCTAATTCCATAGTACAGAACACCATCCACGTGAGGTTTTCCACTCCTTTAATGTTACCCATTTCTGACTCTGCTGCACTCATTCTGTGGGTTTTAATAACTCCTAATGTCCAAATAGACTTTTAAAATAGCTTGTAAACTAGACTAGGACACAGTGGGATTTTCTGAACCCTGCTGGCTGCTGTCACAGGCAATCTTGTGATGAATGTCAGGACCTTCCCTTCCTCTGGGCTCATCTAAAGCCAGCTCTGGGAGTGCCACCTAAGTCTGCTTATTGCTGAGAAGCAAAGGATTTTCATTGAAGATAAGTCCAATTCAAACCCCTGCAAGCAGTTTATGCTGCACATTTGCGTGTAGTGCTTTTAGTTTTGTTTCTAAAGCAAATGATGATGCAATATTGCAGCATCTGCAATTATGACATGTATTTAATCCATGTTTACCCCCTTTTGAAGGGCAACTTACCACTTACCTGTCACTCAGTAGGGTAAAGAACACAGGCCAGCAATTCTCGTTGAGTAGCAGTAAGTCTGTTCCTTAACAGAACAGGCACTGACATGTTTTTAGCAGTGCTCAATGAAATGTGATTAATACTGGATTTCAAGACTGTATCTGTAACAAGTTCAGGACTGTAACTTCAAAAAGCACAATGTGAATGTGCTGTCTAAGCAATACAGGTTAAAAAAACCCACCCGAGTATCGGGATTGCTTCAGTTGGCACCTTTATGACAGCACAGGTTACACAACACGTTTTTCTTACGTTTCTCACGTCCTATCTTATTCCAGCCTATTCTTTAGCGTAGCTTTGGGGCTGGCTAAAGAAACAATGGACCACTCAACTCCTGAGCAAACTGAGAACCTGCCTCCACCTGTGCCTCAGCCTTCTGTAGGTGAAAAATAATCCCTCTTCCCCTTTCCCAGGCATCAGCGTGCCCTCTGCGCCCTGCCCTCTGCCAGTACTGTGACATACAGCTTACCTTCAAGGAGCTGCTGGACCATGAAGTTTACTGTGGAGCCAGGACTGAGCTGTGTGGAGGGTGCGGCCGTAACGTCATGGTCAAAGATCTCCAAGAGCATCCTCGGGTCTGTGGGCAAGAGGTGAAGCAAGTGAGAAGCAGCAGAGCAGTGGCTCGCTTTGAGGATGAGGATGTAGTTCTGCGCACCCTTCGAGATGTCAGAAGGCAGCTCAGATCAGGTAACTACCCTGGGCTTGTGTGCTGAGTGCCCAAGGAAAGCACATTTATAGCAGCTGTGTAGGAGACAAAACCCTTGGGGACATGAGCAGGAGACAAAACCCTTGGGGACATGAGCAGAAGCAATATTTCAGCAGCACAAAGAAAGCAAAAAGGAGGTAAGGTGGAGAGAAGAGTAGTAACTGGCTTCTCAGGTGACATTTGCCAACTGACCCAAGTGTAAGGTTTTGTAATTGCTTTCTGTGAGAATACTGAATAATGGAAGCTCCAGAGGCCCTGTGAGACTGTGCTGCCGTGGCACAGATCTGCAAAGGTGTAAGCCAGGCAGATGGAGGACTCTGAGGTACTTAGGGTGAAAGCCCAGTCTACTGCCTGTTCTTTTGTCCCTAAGTGTCTTGCTTAAAAGTGAAATTGGATTTGTTTGCTTGCTGCAAATTCTGACCATTTTGTTCAGCAGCTGCACTCCTCTCTCCTTCAGTTAAGGGCAGGTAAGAGCTGGACGTGGGTTCCCATGTGCAGTAACACCCTGTTCAGTCATCACTGAGACGATTATCAATGTCTCTGCCCTTTCCTAAGCCTCTAATCTCTTGCCTCCGTGTGCAGGAGGTCACATCACACTTCAGACACAGCCTTCCCAGGAGCTGAATTCATGCCCTGCTTTCTGCTGTGGGCCACATGGAGGCTTTCACACTGCAGAATACTCACACTCTTTGCTCAGCTTGTAGAAATAACTTGTGGCCTTAGCTAATAAAGCTGAATAATCTGGAGAGCTGTAGCCTGTGGGCCCCTTCCACTAACTGCTAAAGAGTGTTCGCAAGTGGTATTTTTATGCATGTGGGAGCTATACTTAATATTCTCACATAATCAGTACAAATGAAATACCAGAGAGATTTGAAATAGGCCAGCACGGGTGAGGAGCACTGAGCCTGTCTTTAGGCATCATCTCTGGAGCCCTGGTTTTCTTTTCAGTGTAGCTTTCCTCCCAGCAAACATGTCATGGTTTTCTTCTGGACAAGTGTGATCCCCCCCGTTGTCAAATGTAATGTCAGTAAAATGAATTTCTTTGCTCATGGAGATACTGAAAGAAGTGTTCCAGCCTTGTAAAAGGGATGAGACTGGAGACTGCGAGTTGGACCTTGTTCATAGCGTAGGTCCCAGAAGGGTCCTCAGTGACTTTGTGAAGCTCCCAAGAAGCTTAAGTTCAAGCTTTTGGAGTAAGAGGAATGACTTCCTCCTTTTTCCCCTTTTCGGCTTATCACAAACAAAAGCAGGCTGACTTCACCTTCCTCCTCCTGCATTCGACACAGGCTTTGACACGCTGAACTCCATGAGCATACACATGTGCAGCCCTCCTGGCTGAGCCACTCTGGTGTCCAGAAGGGAGCTGCTTGTTGCTGGCTTCATGTTCTCTTAATTTAGTGTTTGTCTTTTGAAGAGAATGAACTGGAGCAGCTGGGGAGAAATGAAAACGCTCATTCCTCACTCGACGACGAGTGGAGCCCTGACCTAGACTTCGTGTTGGCTCTCAGCCTCCAGAATGAGAACCATCAGCGCAGGAACACTGCGGCTGAAATGCCCAGGGACTGCTGGGGAAACTGCCACGCCAAAGGGCCTGTGTCGTCTGCCTGTCCTAATGAAGGAGACGAGGCAGATACCTGCTGTGACTCTTCCGTGCCTTTTAGCTTGTCAAACCATGCAGAAAGTAAGTATAAATGCTGCTGTTTCCTTAAAGTTTGAGGGGAGGGAGAAGGAAAGAGGATTCCCGGATTGGGAAAGTCAGAGATTATCTGGGTGTTTTAAAAGGTGGAAATTAGCCTCTTTGAGACTCCCTCTAAAGCAAGACAGCAAAGGAGGAAGAAACCAAAGCTGTAGCAAATCTCTGACCTTGATACGTGGTGAGAGCTTTGTAACAACTCTGATAAACCTGAAGGGGGGACGTGGGGGAGACCTGAAGTGCCAGCTTGTGTTGAAAGGAGAAATGGTGCTAAAGGGTTTATTAAAGGCAGTAATAGGCTTTTTTACAAGACTATGTTGTAGATCTTTGACCCCAAAACATTGTTCTCACTCTGGGTGATGTGAATTTGCTCATGTGGAATTCAGCAAGTGGGACCAAAGTGACTGTTTCCATACTGTTTGCTCCAGCTGCTTCCCTGGTGCAGAGCAGAGGTCTGCTGCTTAGGGGTTTTGGGGATAAGTCAGTCCAACTGCATCAGACTCCTCCATGGCTGAGGGTGTAACTGTTACTTACTTTGCAGATGAGGAGGTCATCATGTTGCCGTGTGAGTTCTGTGAGGAGCTCTACCCTGCTGAGGACCTGATTCTTCACCAGGTTTGGTACTTTCTTGGATCTGGGGGTTGGCAGCAATTTGGTCTTTGCAGAGCCAAGTGGCTTTTCAGGTCCACCCATGCTCAACAGGAGAGCTAATATTCCCATGTTCCTTACGTACAGACAGGTTGTAACCCAGCAAGTGCCTTTGCCTCGTTCAGTAAAAGAAGTTCTTCTCCAAATCCATGGGAATATGATGGTCTGCGTGCCAGTGGGTCCAAAGGCTCTTCATCCCAACCCCAAGCTGCCCAGGCAGAAGATGACATTATCATTCCCTGTGAATTCTGTGGCATCCAACTAGAAGAGGAGACACTCTTCCATCACCAGGTGCTGAACTAACCCGAGCTTGATCTGTTCTGTCACATCCAGTTGTTCAAGGACTACGCCAAGTCCTGTAGCCTCTTGTGGCACGTTAGCCATCCCCTGTGTCAGATCTTCCCAAACAAAGCCTCTTGGGTTCCAGCTAAAATGTTGGGCTCTCACTGAAAAATAACTATTGTTCTGAAAGCTCAAAACGAAACAAAAGGCCCCGAAATTGCACAATATAAATGTTTGATTTGTACGTAAAAGTGATGTTGAAACCAGGATGTATGAATCAGCGCAGGTGGGAGAGGAGCACAAGTGTGTAACCCGTGTAGGTGAGGGAGGAAGTAGGGAGCAGACTGCAAATCTAGGAGGTGGAGGAATGTCTCGGGGGTAGATGTGAAGAGAGAGGAAGGATAAGGTGTGAACATACTGGAAGCTCTACTTGAGAGAGAAGCAGTGGGTTGATGAAGTGATGGGTGGTGCAGAGTACTCCAGTTCCTTGGTGTCTGGTACTCCTCATGTGGAAAGAACAGGTCCTGGCACTGCTGAAGCTGTTGCTGCTGCCCCAGAACACCGAGCAGGCACTAAGGAGCCCACTTGGTGCTTTAATACTGTTGTACACCTGAAGAGCAGATCTGGGGACGGGCTGTGCAGGGAAGAGTCAGTCCTCTGGGATTTGCTCCTGTTCCAGCCAAGTGATGGAAACACTGAGCTTGCTCATTTTCTGTTCCACAGCTCTTTCATTCGTACAGTCCCAACTAACAAACCAGTGAAGCTGCGTTTTGTTTGGCTGTTCTGGGCCTTTCCTCTCCTGGGAAATGGTAAAATCACCACAAATAGAAATGAGAGCTGATAAAATTTCATAGCTTATCCTTTGCTTCACACCAAGGAGGAATCCCATCCACTCCCTATTACAGTTGGCTTTTGGAAGACTCTTTTTTTTCCCCTCACCCTATCCCATTTTGGAAGTGCAAAGGCTGTTTTCTCTACCAGCTTCTGGTGTTTATTAAGTCTTAGTGACTGGAGCTGGGTTGCAGGAAGATGGTTTGTTTGCAAACCACAGAAAGGACACCCCATGTTTAAAGTTGTGTGTTCCACACAGTGATTCCCGGGACCTCACAAAGGTAACATGTTTTTTCCTTTCTAGTTCCTGGTTTTGCTCTGTTCCCTGAGTGTCTTCTCATTTTGTTGTTCCTTGGTGTATTTTAATCGTGACTTTTACAAGTGTAACCAACAGGGGCGTCTCTGTGGGCAGCGTGACTTGGAAATCACTTTTAACTTGCTTTTTGTCCTTGGGGCTGTCATTTAAACACTCCAATGTGTGTTTTGCTTCAGCACCACTGCGACCTGCGCCCGGCCAGCCCTGCCACCAGCTTTCCACCGCTGCAGCCGCCGTCTCCACGGGCCGGCAGAGAGAGAAGAGGATCAGGAGAGCTGGCTCGGAGACGGGCCCGGCACCAAGGTGAGGGCAGAACAGAGGCTTAGCTGTCTCTGCGGGAGCACCGCGTGCTCCCGGCTGAATGCCTGTTGCTGCACTTACTGTTCCTATGAAGTGCTGTATTTTGCCCTCCCAGGGGATGTTTCTCCTTGGAGCACAGGCGGCTTTGGGCAGCAGGATCTGAGCTGTCCCACACGAGGGCCCACGTCTCGGAGTAGCGGGGCACACGCCAGGAACACACCACTGGCCTCTTCCATGAGAGCTGGAGATGCTCCTGCCTCCAGAGGGAAGCCCAGGAAGGCGTCTGGCAACGAGGGGAGACCAAGGAGCAGAGACACAGGCGAACCTGCGGGTGGGACAACGCCGCGTGTGAGACCTGCTTGGAACTTCCATGCAGAAGGCTTCACATCCAGCAGCTCCAGGGCTTCTCCAGCCCAACCAAGGTACCACCTTTGTCTTCTGTTTCAGGCCTGCCCTGAGGGGTCAGTGGTGCTTTGTTGGAGGTGGGGGCACAGCCTTAGGCCTGGTGCGTTCTGAGCTGCAGCGGGCAGCAACCCAGCCCCAGCAACAGTGACAAACCCGCTCCAGTCCTCGGCCTCACTTCCCCACGGTGTAAATCTGGATTCCCTCCTATTTTTCAGCCTGTGGCTAAAAGGGTTTCACTCAGTTTAATTGGGTTGGGGCTTGTCTGAGTTTCAAACAACAAACTCGGGGTTTTATATCAAAACAGAAGGGGGAAATTGGTCACTGGGAGAAAACGGAGGATGCTGCCTCATCATCTGCCTGTTGTGAGCTCTTATCTTTGCTTTCCTTGTTGCTGTTTGCTTAGAATTCGGTTCTGCTGCTGTCAGCGTAACCGCTCAGGGTTCGGAAGTGTGAAGGGCTTCCAGAGGCTCCCTGCTGTGAGGGACCTGTGTCTGCCTGGCAGGGAGGGCACGGAGCCGGGGGTAGGCTTCCTACCAAAAGCATCCCTGTTCATCCTCCACAGGACCAGCAATGGAGGACGAAGGAGCCCTGGGACATGGGAATGTGCAGG